TTGAATTTTTTGTCTCTCTATCCCACTCCCTCTTTCTAAAATCAATTTTAAAAAAAATAAATGGAGATCTATAAACTGTGACCAGGAATTCAGAATAAACCTCCTAAAGCTTAGTCAACTACAAGGGCACACAGACAACTGAGCCAAGCTAGGAAAACAATGCATGGACAAAATGAGAAGTTGAACAAGAAAATAGAAACCAGCAAAAATAAATTTAAAAAACAAATCCTAGAGCTGTAGAGTATAATTACTGCACTCAAAAATTAAATAGCTTCAATAGCTAACTCGAGCAAGCAGAAGAATTAGTGAGCTAGAAGATAAGTCATTTGAAATTATCCAGACCTAGAAAGAAGACAAGAGAAAACTAAAGAGTGAAGAAGCCCACAGGACTTATGGGACACCATTAAAAGAAACAAATGCACTTATTGAGAATCTCAGAAGAGACAGAAAAAGGGGCAGGAAGTCGATTTAAAACAATAATGGTCAAAAACTTCCCAAACCTGCTAAGAGAAGTGGACACCCAGATTCATGAGGTGCAAAGGACCCGAATCGGCTGACCCTAAAAAGGGCAGCACCAGGACACACACACAATTAAACTGTCAAAAGTCAAAGACAGAATTGTGAAAGCAGCAAGAGAACAGTGACATCACATACAAGGGCAATTAAACAAAAATTTGACAGGCCAGGAGTCAGACTATATATTCAAAATATTGAAAGAAAAGACTATCATGGCTTCTGGTCAAGATGGCAGCACAGGTGAACGGTACTCTTATTCTCCCAGAAACACATCAAAATGCCAACTAACCTACAGAAGAGCCATCACTCAGAACCACCTGACATCTAGTGAACAGCGGTCTCACAACTAAGGACAGGAGGACGCCAGGTGGGAGGGACAGAGACTCGGGACAGGCTAGGCCCACACCGACATGTGGTGGATAAAAATCAGGAAGGGTTTCCTGGCTGCGGAGAGTCCCCATTAGAAACGGGGAGTCCCAGCTCCGTGGCAGGCCCCCAGCCCAGGGTCCCAGCACCAGGGAGAGAAGTCCCATAACTCCTGGCTGTAAAACCTGCAGAGCGCGCTGAATGAGTGCGGGCTGCAGAGCCCAGGCACTTCTCTCACAGAGCCGGCATTCAGACTGACTCGGACTCACCCGCTCTGAACTCCAGCGCTGGGGCGGCAGCTCAAAAGGCACGGGTGACATACGGGGAGGAAATGAATTGCTTGGCATCAGGGCAAGAGCTGGAGGGGCAGTTTTCTCCCAGATGGAGAGCTGGCCGAGGCCACTGCTCCTTTTCCGAGCCCTCCCCCCACAGAGCCATCCACCTGGCTACACTGTCCACCCCTCCCTGGTGATTCCAAGACCCTCCCCACCCAAAACAAAATAAACGAACAAGCAGAACAGAAGCACTCATGGATACAGAGAACATTTTGATTGCTGCCAGATGGGAGAGGACTAGAGATATGAATGAGAAAGGTGAAGAGATTACAAAATGCAAATTAACAGTTACAGTGACAGGGATGTAATGTACAGCACAGGCAATATGGTCAATAATATTACAGTGACTATGTATGGTGTCAGACGGAGATGAATTTATCAGGATTTATCACTTAGTAAGTTATATAATGTAAAATCACTGGGTTGTACACCTAACACTAATATAATATTGTATGTCAACTGGAATTGAAAAATAAAAAATTATTTAAAGTCCTAGAAAACCCCCCAAAACAGGAAAGACTGTTAAGCAGGAATATTATAGCAGCAACATCAAAAACCTAAAATGTGAGAGAAAGTATAAATTTCTGTATGCTATTAAAGTTAAGTTGTTACCAGTGTAAATAGGATCGTTTATGTAAGCCTCAAAGCAATCACAAAGCAATACCTGTAGTTGATACACAAAAGATTATGAAGAGGAGTCAAAGCATACCCACAAATAGGCATCCAATCACCAAGGAAGATGCCAGGAGAGGAAGGAAGGAACATGGGAGCTACATAACACTCAGAAAAACAATTAACAAAATGGCAATAGTAAGTCCTTATCTATCAGTAATTATTTTAAACATAAATGAATTAAATTCTCCAATCAAAAGACATATAATAGCTGTATGGGTTAAAAAGTACCAAGATCTAGCAATATGCTGCCTGTACAAGACTCACTTTACCTTTACGGACACACATGAACTAAGAGTGAAGGGATGGAAAAAGATATTTCAAGCAAACGGTGACCAAAAATAACAAACATGAGTACCTATATTTATATTAGATAAAATAGTCTTTAAACTAAAAATGCTC